TTTCCTGACAGAAGCTAAGACATTTGAAATCTGGTTTGGCATTCCATCCATAATTACCCTCATTGTACCCTTCCCTAATAATTTCCAGAGTGATATGAGTGAGGCTGAAATTGCAGCTGAGCTTCGTGTTTGGTTTTTTTTTTTTTAAATAGCTGGTGTCACAGCCATATTATTTTATCCCTTCATGCATATAGTCAAACTGTTAGATGTATTCTTAATAACTATTCCCAGGAGAGAATGTGACTCAGCACACTGGTAGTTGTTTCTGCTTCATACCCCTGTGTGTGGCTATAAAAATGTCCCATCACCTCAGTTGCCAAAAAGGCAATGGCCTCAAGCTCTTATTCTTTTGTATCCTCAGCTACGAAAAAGACCCCCAACTCTGTGGATTATACACCTTGCTTTTATGGTTCATGAGTGTTTACATGAACAACATTTGAAACTTCATAGTTACCAAGGAATTCTGTTAGAAGACATTTGTGGGCTGGTGGTAGATTGCTTGCCTACCATGTGCAAGGCACTGAGTTTGATCCCTAGCATACTCCAAAAAGACATTTCTTCATAAAGAACTATACCATAATCATCCTTTAAATGGTGTACTTGAAAATATGATTTGTACTTCTGGTACCTTAAAAATAGGACTTGCTACACAGACATTTTTAATAATTTTTTCAAGTACATGTGTATTACACAAAGGGAGGCAAGCTCCATTTTGATGTATAGATTGCTTTTGCCTCTTTTGAGAGATATGTTCCATTTCACACACTGAAAAATACGGTGCTTTGATCCTGCTGCTTTTCTAGTGTTCTTGGTAGCCATTTTTGAAAATGAGTGTCATACCTATTTGTGAAATGGGAAGCATTTTCTTGTCAAGTTACCACTATATCAGATAGCACACAGAGATCAGGGAAGGCTTGACTTCTGTTCTCTTCACTTGGCTTTTCCCTGAGTCAGTTCAGGTTTTCTTGGCAGTGTGAGCCTCCATGAACTCAGTTCAAGAGCGCAAGGCAACCTAAGAACTTAAAGCTGCAAGGTTTGCATTCAGCTGCCTGGGAAAGTGGGGTCCTGAAGTAAGCCACTCTGCTTTCTCGGAGGGCCTCTCTCCTTGTCCTGGCTCTGACCTCAAAGAGTTCCTCTGATCCTGATGGAAATGCTGCCTAAGACAGTGCTTCCTAAACTTGCACTTGCATAAAGGATTCTGATTTAGTACATCAACATTGGCCCATGAACTTGTATTTCTACCCAGCTCTTAGGTGATGCACATGCTGATGGTAAGGGAACACTACTTAGGAGAACCACTGCTCTGGCAAGATGGAGGCCAGGCTGCAAGGGTTAGTAAAGAGGTAGCACAAGAGGATTTTGAGTGCACTTTGTGTTGAGGGCAGGATTGTAGGGAAAAGGGAGACAGACTGACCCACCCAGCTTCTCCTATGATTGGTATTATTTAGCACATGCTGGAACCACAACCTTTACTTTCCACATTTCATGATATGGTTCTAGAAGGAAATGATTATGGGCCAATTTTCTAGGAATCAGGAAAGTTATGTTATTCATGGATTATACTAAATACTGTTGGTTTTTAAAATTGCTTCATTGAAGTATAGTTTATATGCCATAAAATTTACTCATTGTAAAAGAATACTACAAGGATTTCTCACAAATATATATTGTTCAATTGTCATCACAGCCCAGGGTTAGAATATTTCCAGGATCCCAGAAAGCTCCCTTGACATTACAGCTCTGGATTGTTTATGAATTATGTTAACTGTATGTTCAAGTACCTTTTCAATGACTAGGAATACCTTTTAGAATGCTTTATATTTTTTCATTATTTTGACCAAGTAAATAGATCATAGGCCATTTGTTTCGCTACTCATTAATTAGTCTTCATAAATAAGCTTGTATACCACATGTACAAAGTCAAATACCACTGAGTATTAGGGTGTCTACTGGATACCAGGTACTGCTTTGCCATATTCCATAATACAGGTATTATGGTGGTGCCTACCTGTAATCCCAGCTACTCTGGAGATAGAGGCAGGAGGCTTCTGAGTTTGAGGCCAACCTGGACAACATTAGTGAGACCCAGTCTCAAAAACAAAATACCAACAAAAGAACTGGAGACCATGGCTGAAGTGGCAGAGCACCTGCTTAGCTAATGCTTGGCCCTCAGTTCAACCCCCAGTACTACAAAATAATAATAATACTCCAGAAGCACACTTCTCAAAATTTAAAAGAGTATTTTAAATTGTTTATCTGTCATTGTTTAGCTGTCATAGTCTTGAACTTTCATTGTATGCCAGGCAGTCCACTACAGCAGGATATAAAAATGAATAAAACATGAGTCCTGGCTTCATGGGGCTCATGACTCTAGAATTGGACATGACCATCCCTTGTTCCCTCAGATGCATTCTAATATGAGGAACTTGGGGGACGGCTCTTGTCATACCATCCTCTGCCCTCTTGTCAGAGGCCACCACAATTACAAACCATGTATTTGTCCAGCTTGTAGGACAGTGGGACTCTCTTGCTAGATCTAACATCCTCTGGTTTTGAATATTAGGCTGGTCAGAGAGCAAAGTCAGTCCTCCTCCTATTCCATGGCCAACACCAAAGACAAGCAGTGCAAATGACAACAGCTCAACACTGAAAGGTAATAGTGTTTTATCCCCCTGACATGACAGTTGACTTTCTTTTCAGCAATCTAACACTACTTTCTGTATTTCTTTACTAATTTCCATTTAAGCATGTAGGGCTTGAAGCAGAGCTATAGGATAAATTGTTTTTGCACAATCCTAGAAATTACATTCTGACTTTTCCTGGCATATGGCCTTAATTCATAATTCCCTTTATCAAATTGTGTCTAATGAGGATTGAGTCAAGTATCTGTCTTCATGTGAATGGTTGCTCCTCAAGATTGATTAGAAATATCAAGGTAGGAAAGGTTACTGAGGTTTGCTGTCTAAAAAACCATTGAGGAATGGGGAACATGGCTCAAGTGGTAGAGAGCCTGCCTAGCAAGTGTGAGACCCTGAGTTCAAACTCCAGTATTGCCAAAAGTACCATTGCCACCACCACATAAGGCATTTAATCAGTGCTCCTCAGAAAGGGCTGGGCTTCTTAGCTGTCAAAAGAGGTACTTTCAAGCTCACTAAACCCATTCTCTTCGGGGACAGGCCCCCAAAGAGAACATCTGCTGGACAGATGAGCTCATGTATATTGCAGCTCTGTCTCTGTTCCTTTGGTCATCACCCATTTTTTTTGACCACAGGAAGTTAAAGGAAACGACTATTCCATTATCATCAAAGTGTTCCTATGCTGTTCTTTTAAGTGTTGTGCAAATAAGTTGCACTTGGTTTTGCCTCCAGGGGTGGAGGCCTGGGGAATATCTGAATTGCCCCCAAAGTACAATCACCTGGCTTTTCACAGCAGGCCCATGGACACTTTCTGAGGATCTTCTAAAACCTTTGCAGAGGTTAGGAGGAAAGAGAAGTAGCATATTCTCACTGGAGATATCTTTATGATATCTTGTTATTTTCTATCAAGAACAGAGATAAACTAATCCAGCCAGATCAGTCATACCCCATACAATATCCTTGTGTGACATCCAACATGATGACTAAAGAAAGACGTTTTTTAAAGCAATTCTTCCCTCCTCCTACCCCTTGACAAACTATATTGAGTTCTGACAAGTCTCAGCTTATCATATCAAAACAAACCAGGTGTTTTCAAGGGCTAACCACGTGGAATGCAGTTAATGTTATGTGCAGTGTAATCTGCTACCTATTCTTGCTAGCTAGTTATATAGTAATATATCTACAAGTCATTTTGAAGGAAAAAAGGGAAAGGAATCAGAAGTATAAAGTAACCAGTTCACTATCTTAGCATCTCAGTGTCATTTTTTTTTGACAAAATTATTTTTTATTTGCCAACCACATGTGATTTTTTTTTTCATTTTTCTTTTATTATTCATATGTGCATACAAGGATTGGTTCATTTCTCCCCACTGCCCCCACCCCCTCCCTTACCACCCACTCCGCCCCCTCCCTCTCCCCCCCCCAATACCCAGCAGAAACTAAGGAAGGGTCCAAAGACCCTGTTTTTGTGGTTATAATCATCACTTCTATCCCTTCACTCTAGCCATTTGTCCTAGCAACATTTTGGGGACTTTTCAGCCAGATGATATACACATTCCTAGCTGCTTCCGGGTAGAAGGATATCCCATCAGAGAGACATTTTCTTCATGCTTCTGACACCCCCACCTGTTTTAGGAAAAAAGCACAGGTCCTAAAGAGCCCCAACTTATTTAGAAATCACCTCCATGAGGTGCACTTTTGAAAATGCTCTCTTTGTCTGGAAGATAATTTGGCTGTATAAGCATGATAGTCAGGAAGCTACAACAGGTGTTTCAGTGAAACAATCAAAGGAGGTCTTTGGTGAGGTTGGTAATAAGGGGATTTTGAGCCTGCTGGGAAAAGGGAAAAGATATCATGGGCCTCTTTGATGGGGGAAGGTGAAGGTCAGTTACCCTGACAGCCAGGCCTGGGTGCAACCTCCTCTAGGACTTTGACTTTCAAGGGTGAAAAGAGAGACCCCAAGATCTGCCCTGACCCAGAAGATTTGAAGAATTCCTCTAGCAGACACTGGAAAGCACCTTGCTTCCTAGGTATTTTGTCTGATTTCTGAAATAACTGCTATTTCCTGGTTGTGGCAAAGTGACAGGGTGTGAGTTTTGAGCAACTCTGTGGGCTGTGTCCATTAGCTAAGGTTGGATGCAGGTGGGGGTGAGTTAACACAGAGCTCATTCTTCAGCTTCAGGCCCCAGTTTAGAAATGTCATCCAATCAGCCAACCAGGGAATGAGGAATTCCCTTACTGTTAGAGACAGAGGGTAATGGGATTTGTCCCTTTTCACAATGGTGTTGAACCTGTCTGCACAGCGCATGGCAGAGGTGGGTGCTGGAAAGGTGGATTTGTTGATGTTTCTTCTTCTCTCCCCAGAACCTGCCAAGGCTGCCTCGGACCTGACTGCCTGGTTCAGCCTCTTTGCTGACCTCGACCCCCTGTCAAATCCTGATGCTGTTGGGAAAACTGATAAAGAACATGAATTGCTCAATGCATAAGTCTGCAGCCTTTAGGCGGGAGCTCTTATGGCAGCTCTGCAGCACCTCACCTGAGGCTAGCAGAAGTATAGTGTGATCAGTATGCTGTTTTAATATTTACGTGCCATTTTAATAAAATCAAAGGGTCAAAGACCCTGTTTATATTGGTATGATTACTCTTATTTGGTATAAAGAGTTGGAGTGGGTTTTCTCTGTAGATCTAAACAGTACAGGAGTGTTCGGGAGTGGTTTTCAGGCCAGCACTCTCCTTCCAACAAATCTATCATGGCTACTGTGGTGTCACTGGGCCACTATGAGATCCAAGTCCACATCATAAACTTACTGTGTATTAGGTTTAAGTAATGTGTCCTATAGTTCTCAGAGGCCACGGGAGGCTAACAAAACTTAATGCCTCCTCTTCTCCCTCCTACCTCTGTCCCCCTTAGAGGTGACACTTGTCCCACCAAACCACCTTCTAGTGTGCTCTGAATGAAGATCTGGCCAACCAAAAACACTGTCCCCACAGCACTTGTCTGTTGGCCATGTGTTCTCATGCTGGTGGAGGGGCTGGGCTTTTCTCTGCTACATGAACATTTCTATGGAAAGCAGCCATATTTGCAGATTCTAGTGTCTCCTTCTGCCCTCTTTATGGCTGGAATCCCAAAGCATGTATTTCTGGAGCTTCTTGTGACATTGCTTTTTTTTTTTTAATTAAACAGAAAACATTTGACATGCAAAGTTAAGTCATGGAGTCTGTTGTGGGGACTTAGTGTTGTGCTGTGGGTTTGGGGGCTGAAGGAAGACCGAGGAGAAGGGTAGGTCCCACCTGCTGCCTTGTACCTACTGACTTGACCCTAAACATCCACCAATTAAGGCAGCTGGGAGGGGTTGTTGCACGAGGCTTTTGTGGAATCAGGTAGGGATGGGAGCAAGAACTTTGCATTTGAGCACATGATAGTCAGATACTTGACCATCATGACAGACCCCAAAGTTGGTACCCCTCCTCTCCTGCTAATGAGGGCCATACACACTCACCGAAGCCCATATACACCCCTTTCAGTGAGCTTGGGGCCCTGCATAGGGGAAGAATCAATAATGAACCAGGAAATAGTTCTTCATGTTCAGCTAGGCCAACAGGTAACTCCTGGGCTCCCGTAGCTTCAAACCCAGCTTTGAAAGGGCTTCCTGGAGCCACCTACAGAAACACGTGGGAGCATCCACCATCATGGAAGAGACTGACTGCAACCATAATCTCCATCCTGTACAAAACACCCTGGAGGGCTAGAGCCAAGCTGTTGAATGTACTGAGGAGCCGGCAGATGACTAGTTCATACTATGCTTGCTTCCCAGCCCAACACAGGATGTTAGGTAGTCTCATTTGTAAGGATCTCATAAAGCAAATTCCTCAGCCTGGTATTTGTGGACTTTGGGGACATTATAATACAGTACCAGCACCCTACCTTGTACCCCTTCTGCACACATAGAAGAACTTGTGGTTCCCCTTAGCCCCCATTTCAGGGCTTGTATGTTTGCTATGTGTCTCACCTGCGCCACCCTCACAACCCCACCTACCCCTCAAGAGCCTCCTCAGAAACCACCTCTGCCACCAGGATAGCTCCCAATTGCAGTCCCAGTTCTCCTATGAGGAACTGGCACTGAGAGTTCCCAGGTCCCTGCCCTTCCCTTTCCATCTCATCCACCTATGCCAGGATAGCGCTCCACCTGTGTAGTTACTATTCGCTTCCACTACAAGGTGCTGCCACTCAGGAGAACAGGGTCCCCATTTCCCAAAATCTGTCTCCTCATTAACTAGCACCCTAGTTACCTTGGAATCAATGGACTAATGATTGCCAAATTAAGTTACCCTTCATGAATTGGTCCTAGTTCCATCCTGGGTCACGTTTGTTTACAGCTGTGAAAACCTACAGCAGCCACAGTAAGGAGATGAAGCTGGAGGGCAAAGGGGAGGGGGGCTTCTGTTTTGAATGGGTTACTTTAAATACTAACTGAATGCATTTTAAAATTGATCTGTTGATGAAGGGGAGAGGACTGTGGGAGTTGGACAGGCTTTGCAACAAGGAAATGGAAAGAATTACCCATGGATGGCATTTTCTTCCCAAATTTTCTTTACCTTTTTGTAAAAAGAAAAGAGATCCCATTCCCTTTCCCATCTGCAGTCCACTTGGCCAGGCTCTTGATCCCTTTTGATAGGCGTGTTTTGATCCAGGCTCATACAAAGCCCCTCAACCACCTCTCCAGTTTAAGGAGAAGCAGCTGCTGCCTGATTTTCTTGTAAGTGGCCTGTGTGCCAGGCTGTCCAGGGGGCTTCCTCTGGGACCCACTCAGGGGCCTCCCCAGCTGCCCACAGCCTGTCTGTAGCATGGAGAAGACAAAGGTGCCTTACCCTCTTTGCTTACAGTGTCACTTCTCCCTCATTTTCATCCATGTCTTAAGGCCAGCCTGAGCCACAATTACGCTGGAACCCTCAGGCATATGAGAAGCACCTGTTCCAGGATGGCTTTCCTGCCATTCTCAGTGGACTACTTGTTTCCCTGCCCACTCCCTTCCCTTTCCCCTTGCCAACTGATGAAGATATAGGCATTGAGAGAGCCAGAAATGATTCTGTTCCCTCCTTCTTTACTGCTCTCTCTGGCTGGCCAGGGGCTCTTGGTGTGCTTTATAGTTTCATTCCCTTCAAAATGTAATTTTAGAATTGCCGAGTTGTTTTGAGTTCTGGGAGAGTGAGAAAAGCACCCGTTCACTTCAAAATTAGCACCAATTTAGGAAGAGCCAACCCTTTTTACTGGAGGTTTTTGCCCAAGGAAACAAAATGAGCTTTCAGCTGGCAACACTGGGAGCCCTGAGTGGCCAGTGGGTCCGGGGGGCATATCCATGAGCTTTAGCCAGTTTTTACAACTGGTGTGGGGCCAGGACTGAGGCCCCCGGAGACGCCTTTTGATACTGCCCAGCCATCTGGGTGCAAATGGCACCTGCCAAGCCTCTCTTGCCTTCTGGCCACATTGCAGCTCCTGGAACCAGCTCCCTGAACTCCACACTCCCTCTCCCAGAGGCTACTGCAAAGAGACCCCTGCCCAGGGGCTGACTCTGGCAATGGCTCAATGCTAATGTTAACACCATCTGATTTTGCCAATGTATCAAAGTTGTACCTGTCTTTGTGATCAACTAGTGTCCTCCAGACAGGTCATGGAGTTAATCCTCTATTTCAATTTCAAACATCTTTCTTCCCAGTCCTCCAACTGGCCCAGCTCATGGTGCAGTGATGTATTCTCTTTATCTTTGTTGGGAAATACATATCAGCTTGGAGACAACCCCAAATGACTGGCAATGGCTACCAAGAATTCTACACTGAGAAGGATTCTGGTAAGTGAGCAATGTGGGGGCAGGGAGTGGTGGCAACTGATTCTGCCTAAGACCTTTACTTTTTGGGGTTTTTTTTTTAATCAAACAAAACGAGAATGCTGGAACCTTGAAAGAGGAGCATGTATAGATGAGAAAATCAAAAGCTCAAAGAGCATAACATTACTGAAACCCAACCCAACTCAAAATAACATCAAAACTATGGAGGTGGACTCATTTGCTTAGGTAACTGGAAAGTCTAGGCAAAGGATTTAGGCACAGCTGGATCTAGGAGCTCAGCTGATGTCCTCAACAACTCTTCAGCTCACAGCTCTGTTTCCCCATTTATTCATTCCAATAGACTCTTCTCACAAAGAGGCAAAATGGCCACCAGCATCTCCAATCAAAGTCTTGGAATTGAGCTGCTTTGGTCCCTGTGTCCATTCTTTGGTCGCTGATATTATGGGTGGTGTATGAAATATGCTGTTTGGCCAGCTTTTCATGTGCCTGTCCTGGGAGTCTGGCCCTCCAGGACTAGGAGTAGAGAAAGGATAGTTCCTCTAGGCAAATAAAGGTGCTATTGCTAAAGGACACTGAGCAGGAAAATGCAACAGAGATCTGCCCCACTTGGGGAAGGTGCTTGTCTACTCTTTTTAGAGGGTTAAGAATCGGAGAACTGGAATGTTGTTCAGAACTGCCCCTGAGGGGCCCTGTTAGAAGCACCCTTGGGCAGGCCCTTATGCTGGAAGCCTAGAGCTCTCAGTGACCTATAAAGGCTCCTTATCTTCCAGCCAGCTTCAAGATATCATAAAAGGGTCACAGAGTCTTCTGCATCCAACATGGTTCTAACCAGATAAGGAAAATTAGAGACCAAATAAATTCAAAGTCATTGGAAAACGAGGGCAAGACATTGCCTGACTTCTGGGCCAAGGCTTCTTTTATATCTAGGTGTTTGCTAGAAATTTTGAGCTATAGAAAAGACTGCAAAGACAGGTAAAGTCTCTTTAAAAATCAAATTTTCTTTTCCATCTTCACACTCTTTTCTTATTTTTCTTTTCAGAACACAGTTACCAAATACACACTTTGAGGTAAAATCTAGGAGAGTAGTTTAGGGCAATAGTTAAGAGTTTGCTCTGAAGTCAGACAAATCCATGGTCAAACCAGGTCTCTATTAGCTCTCTCTGACCTTCAGTTTTCTGTCATAAAATGGGGAGAGTAACACTCTGTGCCTTGTGGAGTTGTTATATGGATTAAGTACCCTGAAGACTTCAGCACTGTACTTGCACACAACAGCACAAAAGTATGGCCAAGAGTGTCCCTGAGGCTCTCACACTGGGAAAATGCTATTGAAGTAGGGGAACAGAGGCTTCTCCCTTTCTCAATGACTTTCCATAAGACTCTTTGATCCTATTTTCTCTCCCCATTATTTATTAATTCATTCCTAAATATCAAGGAAATGGAGAAGAAGTAGACAAGACTATAAAGTCTAATGAATATGTTGCTGCTGATTTTTCCATAAGGCTGGGCAAGATTGTGTGCTGAGGCTGGAAGAATTGAAGGGAATTCTGTGTTGGACAAGGACACATTGCAAAACTCTCCAATCTTAAAGGTAATTTTTTAAAAAGTCACTAACCAGAATACTAATCAAAAGAAATTAGAATATAGAGCAGTTGGCATGCTTCCACATTGTTGAGAGGAAGGCAAACTGAAACAGCCACATGGGGAAACAGTGTGGCAGTTCTGCAGAAAGTTAAACACATA